GTACCTACTACGTAGGGATCTTCTGAGTATTAAATGAGATATTCCATGTAAAGTGTTTAGCAAGTACCTGGCATATTGTAGGTGCTTAATAGATATTAAGTATTTGCAATGCCTACAGTGAGGTATTTTCATTAATTATTTCAATATATATTTATTGAGTGCTGTATTAGTCTGTTCAGGCTCTTGCAACAAAATACCATGCCACTGAATGACTTAAACAATAGACGTTTACTTCTCACAGTTCTGTAGGCGGAGAAGTCAAAGATTACAGTGCCAGACAATTTGATTCCTGGTGAGGAATCTCTTCTTGTCCTGCAGGTGGCCCCTGCTCACTGATGTCCTCACATGGCAGAGAGACAGCAATCTCTGTCTTTTCTTTTTTCTTCATGTAAGCCACTCATCTCACTATGAGGGCTCATCTAACACTGATTATCTCCCAAAGACCACATCTTCAAATACTATCACACTGAGGATTAGGCCTTCAACATATGAATTGGGTGGTAGGTGTGTGTGTGTGGGGGGAGATGGGCACAGAGTGGGTGACAACAATTCAGTCCATAGCAAGTATCTATACATTTTCTATACTTTTATTGAGCTGGTCTAGGGATAGAGCAATAAACCAAACAGAATAAAAACCTTTGTCTCATGGAGTTTATATTCTGCTGGAAAGAGTAAGGCAGTGTGTAGAGGGAATAATTGCTGTCATAGATGTCCACTTCTTTGTCTCATGGAGTTTATATTCTGCTGGAAAGAGTAAGGCAGTGTGTAGAGGGAATAATTGCTGTCATAGATGTCCACTTCCTTATCTCCCTAACCTGTGAATATGTTAAGCTACAAAGGGGAATTAGGTTGCAGGTGGAATTAACATCGCTAACCAGCTGACTTTAACATAAGACGATAATCCTGGATTATCTGGATGGGTTCAGTGTCACTTCCCCATAAGTAGAAGAAAGGAAGCAGAAATACAAGAGTGATGCAATATGAGAAGGATTTGACCTGCCCGTGCTGGTTTTGAAGATGGAGAAGAGAGGCTATGAGACAAGGAATGCGGGTGGCCTCTAGAGGCTGGTAAAAACAAGGAAACTGATTTTCCCCTATAGATTTAAAAGAGGATTGCAGCCCTGCTGACACCTTGATTTTAGCCCAGTGAGACCTAAGTTTGGACTTCTAGGTTCCAGAACTGTAAGATAAATTTGTATTATTTTAAGTCACCAAGTTTGTGGTAGTTACAGCAGCCGTAGACAATGAAAACAGGCAGTGTATATATTGTATATCACGTGGCGATAAATTCTATGGAGAAAGTTGGAGCGGGGAATGTGGAGAGGGAGTGTTGATGGTGGCAGTTGATTGTAATTTTAAATAGAGCGGGAAGGGGGGCCCTCTGGTGACTTCTGACCAAGACCTGAAGGAAGTGAGGTAATAAGCCGTGAAGTATCTGAGTAAAGAGTGTTCCTGGCAGAAGGTACAGCAAGTATAAAGGTAGGAGCTTACCTGGCTTTGGTGGGAATCAAAGAGGGCAGTGTGGATGGAGCGGAATTTGTGATGGGGAAGGTAATGGGAGACAAAGTCAAAGATAAAGGAGTGCTTCTTTGTGCTGCTTTTACTCTGAGTAAGAAAGGAAGGCCCAGGAGGATTTTGAGTAGCAGAGTGACGAAAGGCAACATATATTTTAAGGGAATTACACTGGCGGCTGTATTTAGAATAAAACAAACGCAGGGCAGGGAGGAAGCACGGGGACCAGGTAGGAAGCTATTGCAGTATTCCAGGCTGCAGGTATTTGTGGCTGGACCAGGATGGTAACTGTGGAGGTGGTGGACGGAGGTCTGCTTCTGGATATCTTTTTTTTTTTTTTTTTTTTTTGTTGTTTTCTTTTTTTTTTTTAACATCTTTATTGGGGTATAATTGCTTTACAATGGTGTGTTAGTTTCTGCTTTATAACAAAGTGAATCAGTTATACATA